GTCAAGCAACGTCGGGCCTGGTTAGTACTTGGATCGGAGACGGCTTGGGAATCCCAGGTGTCGTACACTTTTTGTTTTTTTTTCTTGTTTTGAATGATGATTGTGATTGCTTTTGCTTTACATTTAAATGTATTCAGAATACTTTTCAGGATATTCTTTGACAGCTTTTTTCATTATCAAATACAAGCTTCTCAATTGGATAGGAAGGATGACCCAATGATAATTCAGATCGCAAAATCTGCGCCCTAATCATAACTGATATATGTGATCTTACGTTAGTTACTGTAGTTGACAGTGCTCCGTTGTTTTCGAAATTAATTTAATTATGCAAATTTATATTTTGTTTTGTGTTAATTGTTTCTGATTGTTCCATTTTTTTCCCACAGGTACTGCCCGCAATGTTGTCATGTCGATTGAGGAGAAGTGTTACTTCTATTGGTTTCTGGAGCAAGGAGGTCACGGTTCATGGAAGTTGGTAGGAATTTCAAAGTATAGGGAGAACATATCGGTATGAAACTATGTGTTTGGTTAGCATAACAACAAAACGGTCTCCTTGTCATCAGTCTTGTTGCTTCTTTCTTGAGCTCTTTAAGTGAATAGCACCTGCCGTTCAATTGAATCTGCTGCAGACAATCGCCTTCACTTCAATGGCTTGTTTTGCTTGATCACATTCTAATCTGAATTCGATTTTTCGAAATGTTTAGAGATCAAGTAAGAGTAACCAGGACAACTGATATTCAAATGCAATGAATGCAATCGCTGGTTCTGAAGGAGCGTACACATACGGATTCTTAAAACGGACACGAAAATTTTCAGATGAATTGATCAGTGGTGGAGGAAATCAACGAGAGCAGTTGCAGCTGTCTTCTGTTGATGTATGAATAGATTCCAGGCGTCATTTTCATCAGAATAATCAGGCTGCAGATAACTCGATTCCTTCGAATACGTATTAAACTTCATTGTTGTCATGTCCAGTTATGACTCCTATCTATTCAATCATCAGTTGCCTAATAATGAAACATACAAAACGATTCATAATATTCTGTTTATTTGTACCTGTGTTGCTTACGGTCTCAGTTATCTGATCATCTACTTGTCACCTCCAAGTAAGGAGTCTCACTACTACAAGATATTTATGCACTCCCTAGGAGTAAGTTAGTCACTTTCGTTCTCTTTGAGTTTTTCCTTGCAGGCATTCCTATTCCTGTTCTCCATCCTATATTCTCTACTTCTGAAGTATATGTTCCATCTTAATTATAATTTTTTCTACTGTGAAGGATACTGTTACCTGATTGGTCTAACATGTGCAAACAGCTTCACACTCCTTTGTATTGTCTGCGGAACTTATCTTCTCACTGTTACTGGTAGTTACTTGTTCCGGTTGTACTTGATAGTTGATCATACTCACTTCCTTAGGGTAAGTGTGTGTCAGAGCCTCAGCTTCACCTCTTTTCCTACTTCCAGACACCTCATCTTTTCCCTATTATCTGTACTGTTATTGAGTTCTTCACAGCTTTTCTAACAGCTGTAACATTCCACAATGGTTATAGCGAGTTTGACCCGAATACTCTTCCGTTCAATGTGAGTTCATCGGGGGATAGGTCATTCTCTCATATGAAGTGCTTTCAGCTTTCACAGGAGCAGTTGGATTACATGTCAATGAGGACAGTTGCATCTTATAAAATGAAAACCTTCAAAGAAATATTTTATCCGGTGTATTTCGTTTCGTTGGCTCTGCTAGTTGGAGTTGTAAGCTGATCTTCAGACTCATGCTGGGTGGATATCTTTGAGCCTTATTCATGACTTTCAGTTGATTGTATTAACTGCTCTTGAGATCGTTCGTACTATCCATAAGAAACAAAGCCTTATGTCTACCGGTGCATCCAATCATCATCTGAAAGTGCTCAAAACCCTAACGATCCAGGTTATACCAGTTTTGGCTTTGTTGTGACATAACTGGTCTTCTAGGTGGTTTGTACCCTTTCCTTGTCTTTCATTGCTCCTTTCGCAATAGCCCTTTCTATCTTTATCCCTATAAGTTCAAGTACAGTTTGAATTGATTACGTTATTCTGAATTTCCAATTGTTCAGCCGTAGTTTATGGTTGCTCGTTACTGTTGGGTACTAACTCTTTGGTCCAGTCTGTTCTCATCATCTGTTTGAACCCAGTTTCCCGGAAAACTGTTCTGACTCTCATCTGCTTTCATAAACCTGAATCACGAAAGACTGTAAGTTGCAGTGATTATGCATATCTTCTGTACTCCTGAATCTCGTTGCAGACTGTACGAGTAGATGTGAAGTAGTGTTCACTTGTAAAGTAGTTTGTCTTTCAACTCGTCTGTCAGTTCTACAGACACACAAGTTTTCGTATATATGGCGAAGTGTTAACCGCTTGTGAGGATGTCCCCTCGTGAAATACGTGTCGTTATTCTTTGGATTTTTGTTGTCTTCACGTCTTTATTGTCAATCCGCATAGTAGGTCCAAGTATCAGACCTCATCAATCCTTCACTTTGTCTTTGAAAAAATTAAAAAAAATATTTTCTGGTTGTTGTTCGTTGTCTGTTTATCATGTTGACATCATTCGATTATCATATATCTTGGGGATAGTAATCTCTCTAACAAATCCCATCAATTTTGGTCCATTTTTCGTTGAGTTAGAAGCTTTTCTGTTGAAAGCCATGCGCGTGCACGACCGATCCATACGTGAACCGTGGGTTGACGAATGAAAATCACGTGAACGATTGCACGACTGCTTAACTCTTTAGCGAATTGAGAAATGAAACTCGTGAATTTTCATTTCCATCGATTGAAAAAGAAATGCGCGGTGTCGTCTTGCGAACTTTAGAATCTCAGAACTCTCTTGATTCTCAACCAATTTTCATAACTTTTTTTTCTATCTGAAACAACACGAGCCTTCCATATCTAAGAAGCATTTCAATACAGTTCTTCCTTTTCATTTCAATGATCCTCCTTTGAAGTTGTAGTTTGATTGGTTGGATGTTCTTAGAAGTTGTAGTTTGATTTTAGAAGTTGGCCATGTGTGTTCCACCTTCACAGCTGATCTCTGATTGAGTTCTGCTCCCCAATTCAACTTACAGAACTATCGATTGATGAACCATCTTGATCGTCTCTTTCATACCAAGTCCTTTCTCTGGTTCTTTTTGATTGCTATTTGCTGAGGTATATTCGAGCGTGTTCCTTGACACTTAATCTAGCTTGTACGTGCTGTTCTGATCTGCTTGTGTTGATGGATCACTATACAGTGAAATGTAAGAGGACATCAGCGACGGGTTGGTATCTATGAGCTGATCGTACGTCTTGTTGCTCTCTATTTCATGTTGATCGTTATCTTTTCAGTCGACCCAGATGTGTTCACTGCTTCCTTGTCCTGTGAGGAGCTCTCCAAACTAGATGAGTAGCAGGTGAAAAGAAATATTGAGAATAAGCTTATGTCCTCTTTTCAGATTTATAAGCGGTGAGTAATCTGATACCGATTGATGGAGAGTCATATCAACAATGATCGAGGACAATGATATCCCTTTTTTTTTTCCTCTCAGTGCTGCCGATGCCTGAGAGCACAGGCTATTAGACCGTGCTGTCCGTTTCGATCTGGCCGCGGAAGATGCTCTGACGTCACTTTTTTAATTTTTTGAAACTTTTGAGATTATGGTCTCGTTAGGCGGAGGCATCTATGCTCAAGCTGGAACAGAAGTTTTTTTGAAATATAATTAATTTTTCGTTAAGTTATGAGCTTTCAAATGTGAAAATTTGAGTTTGAATACGATGCACGTGTATTGCCTTCCTATATAGACGTTCACGTTTTTGACGCAATTTTGCACGAATTTTTCAAACCGTTTTTTCTCCATCTTAAAAACTTTTTTTCGTAATTCTTAATACAGATTCAGAATCAGCAGAATTTTCTGCATTTGAATAACTCATCAGAATTGCTCTGACGTACTTTTTTTAAATTTTTGAAATTAGTCGTAGGAAACGTGAACGTGTATATAGGAACACGAAGCGCGTGCATCGTATTCAAACTCAAATTTCCATATTTAGAAGTTCATAACTTTTCAGAAAGTTAATTAAATTCAAAAAAACTCCTGTTTTAGATTCAGAATAGATGCCTCCGCCTAATGATACCAAAATCTAGGTATTTTCAGAAAATAAAAAAAATGACGTCAGAGTGATTCTGACGTGTTATTCAGATGCAGAAAATTCTGCTGATTCTGAATCTGTATTTAGAATCAAGAAAAAAGTTTTTTAGAATGGAGAAAAAACGGTTTGAAAATTCTTGGAAATTGGTCCCGACGCGATTGGGATTTCTAACTTTCTCAGAATGGGTTGAGGCAAGGTGGCCTCGGAACAAAACCAGAAAATTTTATCAAAAAAATACAA